ACTGTAAATCAAACAAACAAGACCTTATTGAGCAAGTTAGGGTTGTTATTTCTTGGTGCTTTTAGGTCATTTTGGGGGGTTTTTTACATTATATTTTCCATCCATCCATTTTCATCTGCTTATCCGTAACCAGGTCTCTGGGGCAGTAGTCTCCATGACCACCACCGTACCAACCCCCCCTAAACCTTCCTGTGGGTGGTGAGTCCACTGGAAGGTACCAACTGCCCTAACCGGGATTCGAACTTGCCCAGGAGGTGAACCCTGGAGAATTTTAAAAAATTAGTCCAATCCGCGTCTTTGAATCTGATGGGTTAAAGGGCGATCAATTTGTCGCCCCAAGCGGATACTCGGTGAGTGGAGTAGTAACGCAGCGTTTCATGCACACAGCTATACTCACTTCAGCCACAAGGGGTCACAGGTGTAACAGTCAACAGCGAGTGGAACATGTTCAGTTAAGGTTGCGATTCAAGGAGAGGTCAGAATGGAATATAAACTATCAATTAATAACTATCCATCAATATAAACAGAATATACTTTATATATTCATGATATGTACCTTCCAGTGGACTCACCACCCGCAGGAAGGGGTTGGTACGGTGCAATGTGATTTGGATGGATGGATATTCATGATATGCTATGGCACAATACGTTGTAATACTTGCATGGTAAACTTTTATCCCACACTTCATCTCTACTAACTACCTGTACTTTCTGATTTAGCAGGTGTAGAACAGGATGTTAGTAAGGAGGTAGTAAGGGCAACTTTGAGGAGGAAGCATGAAAGAGATCTCGGTGTAGATTACATCCCTTGTGGATGTTTAGAGATCCTTAGGAGCAAGAGCAGTGGACTTTTTGCTGACATGAGATATGCATCTAGCAACAAAATGTGTCCAATCCGCGTCTTTGAATCTGATGGGTTAAAGGGCGATCAATTTGTCGCCCCAAGCGGATACTCGGTGAGTGGAGTAGTAACGCAGCGTTTCATGCACACAGCTATACTCACTTCAGCCACAAGGGGTCACAGGTGTGAGCGAGTGGAACATGTTCAGTTTCAAATACAAAACGTGTTTGCGCAATATGCTCTTCATGTTTATGTCTAAGAGTGGCTCAACGTTTTAGTAGTGACGTTGAATGATTGATATTTCATAGCACACCAGTGTCCTGTTGTATGGGTTAAACTGTATTGGGATAGCTACTCAAACCACCCAGAATATTTTTTTTCACCAGCCGCCAATGATATACTACTAACAATGTTCAAAAACAATGGTGAGGTGTAGTTGTAGTAGCTACAGAGGCCTATTGTTGATTAGTCACACAGTCGAAGATATAGGGAAGTATTATAAAAAGCAAGGCTGAGACAAGAGGTAAAGATCAGTGAGCACCAGTTTGGTTTACCATCCAGGAAAAGTACTACAGAGAGCACTGATATAATAGTTCAGAGAAGGTCAGAAGGAATTGCATTTTGTCTTTGTGGATTTTGATACAGTATGTGTGTGTATGTACAGTATGTATGTGTGTATAAATATATACATATATGTATACATGATATATAGTGGGTACGGTAAGTATTCAGACCCGCTTAAATTGTTCACTCCTTGTTATATTGCAGCCATTAGCATTTAAGTTCATTTATTTGCTCATTAATGTACACACAGCACCCTATATTGACAGAAAAACACAGAATTGTTGACATTTTTGCAAATGTATTAAAAAAGAAAAACTGAAATATCACATGGTCCTTTGCTCAGTATTGAGTAGACCCTTTTAAGCTTATACAGCCATGAGTCTTTTTGGGAAATGAAAGTTTTTCACAGCTGGATTTGGGCATCCTCTGCCATTCCTCCTTGCAGATCCTCTCCAGTTTCGTCAGGTTGGATGGTGAACGTTGGTGGACAGCCATTTTCAGGTCTCTCCAGAGATGCTCAATTGGGTTTAAGTCAGGGCTCTGGTTGGACCATTCAAGAACATTCACAGAGTTGTGCCGAAGCCACTCCTTGGTTATTTTAGCTGTGTGTTTAGGGTCATTTTCTTGTTGGAAGTTGAACCTTCGGCCCAGTCTGAGGTCCTGAGCACTCTGGAGAAGGCTTTCATCCAGGATATCCCTGTACTTGGCCGCATTTACCGCCATGCGTCACTGTTGGGACTGTATTGGACAGGTGATGAGCAGTGCCTGGTTTTCTTCACACATACCGCTTAGAATTAAGGCCAAAAAGTCCTATCTTGGTCTCATCAGACAAAATGTCAACTTATTTTTCTTTCAGCTTTGTCCCTTTTTTTCAGGGGTTGCCTAATCATTGATTTGATTTCCATATTGCCCTTGCATTCTTGTCACTCCTAAAGAGAATCTTAGAATCAGACAAACTGTCAACAATTCTGTGTTTTTCTGTCAATATGGGGTGCTCTGTGTACATTAATGAGGTAAAAATAAACTTAAATGATTTTAGCAAATGGCTGCAATATAACAAAGAGTGAAAAATGTAAGGGGGGGGGTCTGAATACTTTCCATACCCACTGTGTATATATATATATACAGTATATATATTTAAACAAGACCCTACGGTGCACTGATGAACTGCCCATTGTGTACCAGCCTTTGACCCAGAACTGTAGAACTGCTGAGATTGGCTGCAGCTACCCGCACAACTGAGAAAGATTACACAGCAAAGTGCCTCAAGGTTTACATCACAAGCTGTCGGTCCTGGCCTCAGCAAAGTAAATAATCTTTGCATTGTAATTTTGCTAAAAACATTTTTTTTGTAACACTCATTCTGCTCTACTTTTAGAATGATAGTCTTCATTTTTATGAAAAAGTGTCTTTTGGGGACTATGTCTCCTTTTTGAGAAAAGGAGTTGTTGACATGCCATCTCTTGAGTGCGTAATTCATGTAAACATGTAAGCTTTCTTCTGCCATCACTGACGTAACTCGTTTCCTGTTATTGTGTACTATTGTGTTACTATTAGGCCACTTCAGAATCCCCGTCATGTTTCCTCTACCCAGTGTGCACAAGGGTAGGCTTCCTGTCGTCTACCCAGTGTGCACAAGGGTAGGCTTGTTCCTGTCAGGAAAGCCTGTCTTCATCAACATATCATATTCTCACACTTTTTATGAGTCCAGGTCACTCAAGATATTTCGCAACCCAGTGTGTAAACATCGTTTTTTGAGTGTAGTGATCAGATGTAGCTTAGCTGAGCTCCGAACGATTCGATGCAGCGTAGGAAAACATTTTCCATCACAGTGCCGCACAGAGGGCTGAGGAACCAGTCCCTCTAAAAACCTACTGTATTTGTGCAAAATTCTTTAAATATTTGTTCTCAACCTGTGGTATGTCCACCAATGATAAAATGTGGGCGGGAATACATGGGAATATGATGTGATTCCCTTTGTCATCTCTGTTGACAGAAATGTAGGAAATGAATACTCAAACACACACACACACATATATGTATATATGTATATATATGTATATATGTATATATATATATATA